TTTTTTTTTAGTTGCAAAATCCACTTGAACATGACGCTGCTTTTTTCGAAGTTTTTCAAGAACCATTCGAGCCACAGAATTCGTTTTGGCATCGTTGGATAAAGAATTGAAATGTCGATTCAGTCGTAACAACGCGAGTGAGGAAATTCGAGTAGTTTTGACCCAGAAAGTGAAATTTGAATATCAGACACTTAGGTGCAAGATTTTTCCAAAATTTCATGTTTTCCGTCCCGTTTTTGCTCATTTCTCGGAGGCAATATGAGCACGAACGCTCATTTGTACATCATTCTAGAGAGAAATAAATGGCCTTTTTAGCAAGTGAATCATCGATAAGGAAATGCTGGAAGTTTTCTCAAAAAAGGGTTGAATTCAAGAAGTTTTAGATTTGCGTGTTTTTTTTGAGTTGCAAAATCCACTTGAACATGACGCTGCTTTTTCCGAAGTTTCTCAAGAACCATTCGAACCACATAATTCGTCTAGGCATCGTTGGATAGAGAATTGAAAAGTCGATTCAGTCGTAACAACGTGAGTGAGGAAATTCGAGTAGTTTTGACCCAGAAAGCGAAATATGAATATCAAACACTTAGGTTCAAGATTATGCCAAAGTTTCATGTTTTCCGTCCCCTCTTTGCTCATATCTCGGAGGCAACATGAGCAAGACCGCTCATTTGTACATCATTCTAGACAGAAATAAATGACCTTTTTAGCAAGTGAACCATCGATAAGAAAATGTTGACAGTTTTCTCAAAAAATTCTTGAATTCAAGGAGTTTTAGATTTGCGTGGTTTTTTTTCAGTTGCAAAATCCACTTGAACATGACGTTGCTTTTTTCGAAGTTTTTCAAGAACCATTCGAGCCACAGAATTCGTTTTGGCATCGTTGGATATAGAGTTGAAAAGTCGATTCAGTCGTAACAACATGAGTGAGGAAATTCGAGTGGTTTCGACACAGAAAGCGAAAATTGAATATCAGACACTTAGGTGCAAGATCATGCCAGAATTTCATGTTTTCCGTCCCGTTTTTGCTCATTTCTCGGAGGCAAAATGAGCAAGAACGCTCATTTGTACATCATTCTAGAGAGAAATAAAGGGCCTTTTTAGCAAGTGAACCATCGATAAGGAATTGTTGGCAGTTTTCTCAAAAAAGGCTTGAATTCAAGTTTTAGATTTGCGTGGTTTTTTTTGAGTTGCAAAATCCACTTGAACATGGCGCTGCTTTCTTCGAAGTTTTTCAAGGACCATTCGAGCCACAGAATTCGTTTTGGCATCGTTGGATAGAGAATTGAAAAGTCGATTCAGCCGTAACAACGTGAGTGAGGAAATTTGAGTAGTTTTGACCCTGAAAGCCAAATATGAATAAGAAACACTTAGGTTCAAGATTATGCCAAAATTTCATGTTTTCCGCCCCGTTTTTTGCTCATATCTCGGAGGCAAAATGAGCAAGAACGCTTACACTGTTCAAGCAAACCACTTCTGAAAATGCAAGCCACTCGTGCTTGCGAAACGTCAAGAAGAAATTCTACCGAACGACGGCCTAAAAACCCGAAAAACCCATTAGTTTCAATAGTAGGATTCTTCCTACTAATTTGGGTCAAATTTCAGTATTCTCAGCGCTGAACTTTTTGATTTTTGTAATCTTATTGACTGATTTTTATTGAACCATTTGTTCGGTTTAACTGCGCATTTTTGGTCTTGGTATTCAATATTTTTTGTTAAATATTTTTTTTTTGTTTCGAGCTTTTAGGCCGTCGTGGAAAAATCTTTTGCGATCCAAAGAAACTATGAGGACTTTTAGAGTGAAATTTGCTCTATTTATGCAACTCGTGCATAAATACGAACTGTGCCCGAGGAATCGCATCGGAACAGTGTAAGCGTTCAAGCAAACCACTTCTGAAGATGGAAGCCACTCGTGATTGCGAAACGTCAAGAAGAAATTCTACCGAACGACGGCCTAAAAACCCTTTAGTTTTAAACTAGGTTAAGTTGAATAGTTTATGAACGATCCAAGCGAGCTGGTTAGTTTCTAAAGTATCCACTTTTATTCGAAATTGCCTTAGTTTCAGCGAGTTTGTAAACGAACCCGCTAGTTTAGAAAGCAGCCAAATTTACTCTTTAACCGCTTCACTCCGGTCCGTGAAATGTGACCGTTGATTAATTGTTGCAGATCAGCAGGAAATCACGTCATCACCCAATCAAACCAACACAACAGAACTGGATAACACTAAAACGTGGCTGGCAATTTCGGTGCTGGAAATGACGATTTCCAAAGAGAAACATGGTCGCATGTTGAGCTGTGTTGCTGTTCACGAATCATACGCAACCAAGTCCAGCAGCATAGAAGTGAGACTGGATGTCATGTGTAAGTATGAAGAGATTTACAGGCTCTTTAATTTTTTCTTGCCCGTATTTCCTATCATTATTCAGTTAAATTTCTAACCATCACTCAGGAAAAAGCATAGTCAAATCAAAGGTTTTTGTGTAAGTTAACATCAGTCATTTCTCAATGTGCAAAAAAACAATGAGCATGTTTTGCTTCGTTTGACCTTCCTGGCCATCCTCTGATCGCCACTATTATTCGCCCAGAAATCGCCGAACATCTGCAGGGAACAGTCAATTGTTTCCCTGTCTCCTGTTGTATATTTCCTGACAGCTCTGGTTTTCATTTATTATCATCTGATTGCTCGGGTGGCACAGATCGATAACCAACATGAATTAACCGAAAACGTCTACAGTTTCAACAGACTGGCGCTTTGGCGTTCGTTGATAAAAGTGGTTGAGTTTCTCTGGCATCTTCAGCGGTGTTAAAACCACCTGGAATGGGGGTCGACGAAGCTATAAAATGCTTGAATTTACCTGCGTTTTATGCTATTAAAGTTGCAAATTCTAGCAATTGACTAGAAAATCTTGAATTTTATTTAAAAGGATCTTAGATCCTTCACTCTATTTAACTTGGGTAGCGACTCGAACTTAAGTTGTTTGAGTTGAGCAAATCAATGCTAAAATTTTTCGTTATTTAGTAGTTGTGCTCGAAACTTTCCAGACCCTCTGAATATTGAAACTTGAAAACTCGAAATCCAAGTCCATGCCACCATGTCGAATTAATATTTAACTTTCATAAATTAGTAATTTCCCATTAACTATTTTAGACTAAAGAATCTGTTTGAATAATTCAGTAGCTTGAACCGATTTAATGAAATGAGTGAAAATGATTGTTGTTTTATGTGTGAGGTGGGCGAAGTTTACAAGCAAATGAACAATTTGCCCCATTAATAAATTTCGCTTTTCCTGCGAACAGCGAGAAAATGACCAGGAAAAGTAGGCAGAAGGTGGCCGTAAAAGTTTCACCGAGATTAAAATTCTCCTCTAGGACGTAAATATTCTCTAACTTCGTTGCTTCATTAAATTCCAGTACGCAATTTCGCCAGTATCATTTCGCTGAGATTTATTTGCGAGTCAAAGTTTTTTTCGCTAAAAATTGCTTTCACCGCGCGTTTATTCTTTGCGAATATTTCAAAATGCCGTCGTAAAGTTCACCGGTTACGAAACTTCGCAATTGGCCTCTAATTCGTTCAATGACGGGGAACTTTGCAAATTCGCACAATTCAGATTTTTAACGAGACAAGTCTGGTTAAGGCGTAAATAAAAAGTGCTCACATACAACCAACTACAACTGAACATTGAGTTGATTAATTGAAAATGAAGCAAAACTTCCCGATTCAACTCGGGACAATGCGGAATATGCAAACTCAAGAATGACCAAAACAAACTTCCGAACTTCCCTACAATGGGTTCGTTCACTTTTTTTGCGGAATAAAACTGAAAAAGAACTGGGCATACAAAGACGTGACGACGTGACAAGAGATTAAATTTATCATCTTCTTTGCGGCTTTGTGGAAGGTTTCCATTGTTCGGCTTTGCTTGCACGACTTCTTTATATGCTGTTTAAAACAAACCCTCAAATTTCAGAACTTCGATGCCAAAGTACTGGTTATGATGGCCAAACTCAACTAGTTAAGCAGCTGTTTTGTTCGAGTGTTCAGGCGTTTTTTTTTTATAGTTTTGTTTCAAAAAAAAGTTTTAATCGTCTGCAAACAGCAAATTATCCGGTTTTATTGTATGTATTTCACCCGCTAACTAGGCGAATATGTTAATTTTGCCGATATTATGAACTCAGCCAGAAATTTATATGGGAATTGTTTAAATGCTCCTGTGCAACATAATTAATTTTCACACTGTAATGTGTGGAATTTCGAAGTATTTCAATTAGCAGTCATTTAAATTACTATTCGCTGTTCAATTCTGGGAACATATGCGAGTGCTAGCAGCAAGAAATTTTGCAATACTAAACTCAACTAAAAATCCCTGTTTAAGTTGCTGAAATTCGTGATTTTGAGCCGGGCAAATAATTAACAGGATTAGATCTGGTGATTTTGACGGCCTTTTTTCATGCACCTGGCGAAACTCATTTTTATTGTTACCTTTATGTTACGAAACTCCTTTGAAACGTAATCTATGAAAGTATGGACTAGGAACAGTTAAGATTTCAAATCCACTTTATTGAGCAAAACACACATTTCTGGCTTGAACCAAACAGACATCCGTATCATCAAAAGAGATAGACTTTCGAGGCCATTCCTTGAAACTAATGGGTTTTTCGGGTTTTTAGGCCGTCGTTCGGTAGAATTTCTTCTTGACGTTTCGCAAGCACGAGTGGCTTGCATCTTCAGAAGTGGGTTGCTTGAACGCTTACACTGTTCTCATCAGAACCCGTTCAGTTCTGCGGAAGAACTGAACGGGTTCTGAACGACGTTTTGCGGAAATAAGAATACAAAGTAGATTTTGATACAAATAAAGTGGAGAGCAGCATTTAACTCGAACAGCAAAATCGTTTTTTTTTTTTCGTTTATTATCAAATTGGTTAAAAATGCTTTTTTTCATTCCATTATGCAGACAATTTTTCGATCGGTTTTACCCTAATTAAAATCTTGCACTTTGGCATAAAGTTTCTAATTTTAAATCCTTCGAACTTTT